AATGAAGAAACCATATAAAACCAATGGGTCTCTCATTATTTGGAGTTTATGAATTAATATTAAATTATAAACTCTCAAAGGGAAAAAACTAGCTCATAAAACATATTCTACACAATATGTTTTTTTATATTTTTGCGAAAATATTCAGCTCTGCTTACATTGGTAAATAGATATTGCAATGTTTATTTCTACGATGATGTTGAAAAATTGCACAAAACATTAAAAAAAACAATATTTGAATAAGAAAAAAAAAACAATATTGCCAAAAAATATGTTTAATACATGAAACCCATACACATTAAGGATGTTCACTACTCTGTTTCAAAATAACAAGCTTTTTAAAAGACTGTTATAGATTGATAGTATATAAATAAAGGAACTAAAAAAGCAGAAAAAAATGAAGGGTCCGTGTGCTTGTTTTCGAGATATAAGCCTTTGAAAATTTGGCGGGAAATAATTCTCTCTAGATTTTTCATACATTTTACATTGGCACCCTTTTTCTTTCGAAAATTATGAAAAAATAACTAGGATTTTATAGCATTTTCAAATATGGCTTTTTAAACTATATTAAATAAAATTATGAAAAGAAAAGTAGAGGTTAGCGGGAGAAATTTTTTAATGGTACTACATGGATAAAACCAGAGGATTCCGAATATCTGGCAAAATATCAAAAACATGAGGAGCGAACATCCTTAAGTTGTTGCTTTATGCAAAGATTTTGTGCACAAAACTAATGACCATCAAATAATAGTTTCATTCTACATTATTGTCATGCCCGATTATGAGAGTAGGGGGCATAATGTTTTCCTATTAGACTAAAGACTTGGTTTAAGGTAGGTTTAAAGATATTGTTCAATGAAGTTTAATACGAAATTGAGGTGAACTTTTCAAAAATATATGTTAAATTATGGTTTTGTCCCAGATTTCGCTATTCACTGAACAGTAAAAATTTAATAGGGTAAGCTGGGCATGGTGACCTAAATGTATGAATACATATTTTTGGTTTTCTTGAATTTACAATAAATTATGTGTTACCTAACAATTATTTAATTAATTGAAAAAAGGAGTTAAAAAAAACAAAAGATAAGAATACAGTTTTTAAAACATTTTAATGGTGAAAGGAGTGGGAATAGTCTATAGAACAGCAAATAAGTCTAATGCGGTTTTTATGGCAAATGATATTTAAATGCTATGCATTTCTAATTTCGAATCTTAATTTTGGCAACAAAATTTAAACATAAAAAATGCATAAGTAATATAGATGTCTGGAATACTGGCTTACTGGACGAAAAAAGATTCTTTCGTCTATCAAAAAAATTACTTGGCAAGATGCATTGATACAAAATAACTTTCAAGTAAAAAAGTAGAATACAATCAGTGGTTGTATAGTGCTTATTTATGGGGAAATGCATATGCTACAAAAATCGTATAAAATATTACAAATCTACAAAACTACAAATATATGAAAGGTACAGCACTTTTATTGCTGTTCTTAGTCTTGTTGTTTGCCAAAGGTCTACATATGTAATTTAAAAGAAAAATACATCAAAACAAGATCTAGAAACCCCTGGTGTCTACTTGAAAGATCCTATTTACTGTAAATGATTCAAACCTGTCTCTTTTTTTTTTTTAACAGACAGAACTCATACCAACTTAGGGCAATTTCAAGAGAAACAATACCCATAACAAATTTATTTTTGATACATGAACGGAAATTCAACTAATAACATGAGGTTTTTTACATTTAAAGGGTACCAAGTAAAGATTTGATCCATTGTTCTTTAGATTCTGAAATAGCTATTAAGGATGTTCGCTCCCCTGGTTTTTGAGTTTTTGCCAGATATTCGGAATCCTCTGGTTTTATCCATGTAGTGCCATTAAAAATTTTGCCCGCTCACCCCTACTTTTCCTATCATAATTTTATTACATATAGTTTAAAAAGCAATATTTCAAAATCTTATGAAATCCTTGTTATTTTTTCATAGTTTTTTAAAGAAAAAAGGTCCCAATGTTAAATGTATGAAAAATCTAGAGAGAATAAATTCCCGCCAAATTTTCAATGGCTTATATCTCGAAAATAAGCACACGGACCCTTCATTTTTTTCTGCTTTTTTAGTTCCTTTTTTTATATGCTTTCAATTTATAACAGTCTTTTAAAAAGCTTGTTATTTTGAAACGGAGTAGCGAACTTCCTTAAAGTTAAAAAAATTTAAATGGTAACCATCATTTGATAGCAATGGCTTGTTACTGTGGATTCATATATATTCGTTGGATACAAATTTTCCTGTTTTTCGTTGGTATAGGTGAACCACGAATTTAAATGTTCAACGAATTACAAATTTTCTATAGGCTTGTATGCTGACTTTTGCAGACCCCTGAAATCAATTATCCACGAAAATATAAGTTTTCTTTAATCCACAAAAATTGGTACCCACGAAAATAAATTAATCAACAGTACCTTTGATATTGTAAAACTTAAAACAAGCAGAATAATACCATTCATTATGTCTATAAATAAAACTTTGATTTTTTAAAATATATTTTGACCGGGCAAAGAAAAAAGTTAACATTGATTTTATTGTACAATGTACTTTTCATTTTGATCGTTAATATCTAAAACCCTGTACAAACTTTCTCCCAGAAAATAATTCTAAATGTGAATAACTACAATGTATTATCTGATTAATGAGCATTGATTATAAATCTAAGCTGAAAAGACATGGGTTTTAGGAATGCATTTATTTACAAGTTTATGCACAATGGCAATATTAAATGTTTGACCCTGTTATACACATTCAACCCTGTGTTATTCTTATGAAATAACATATGAATTTTTTTTCTGTCATTTCCAAGGATTATTTTAAAACCAAAAAATTAGACAGTTTTATCTTTCCAAATATTGAAATATTTTGTTTGAAATTTTTTTTTTTTGAATTTTTGATGAGACAACTTTGAATAAAAGTAATTTTTGTGAATATTATTATATCTTCCAGTTTTATACTTAGATAATAACTATTTACGTGTTCAGAAGTTTATATTTCATTAATATTTTCAAAAACCTTAATATGTTAAAGAATTCATCCTTTTTATCTATACAATTCCACAGCTGCAGTTAGTACATATGAAACCTCTTAAAACAATAATAGAAAAATCAATCCATGCTGGTACACATTTTTAACACACGTATATAAAAACATAAAATCACATAAGTATATTCAAGAAAATAACCATGTATATCAAAGTTCTTGATCAGTCAGTACCTTTCACCCCTCCCCTTTCAAAGGGTTCAATTAAATCTTGTGAATACATTCAAAAACTTTCAGTGAAAAATAATGTTTTGTCCTTTTAAAAATACCAGTAAATAAAAACTGTGTACAATGATTGGTTCATTGTTATTTGCATAAGGTCTATTCCATTAAAATGGATGTAAGAGGGCAACTGATTGGTTCATTGTTATTTGCATAAGGTCTATTCCATTAAAATGCATGTAGGAGGCAGGAAGAGAATTCCAAAATATACCCACAACAAACATACTTTCTTAAAGTAATTGAGCATGCATCAAAGCCCATAAATGACATCTTCTTATCCTCCCACATCCATTTAAATAGAATAGCCATAGAATTCATAGGCAAATATTTCATGAGTGTTTACGACAAGCAAAACAACCCAAAATAAGTAGGGATGAAGGCCAAACTCACTCATGTTTACAACAGAAGGTACAGCCCAGTGAGTGGATAAGGATGAGAGCCAAACACCATACAAAAAGAACTTGAACTTTTGACCCCATGCTATATCGTGTATTTATATGCTGAAGTGAACCAAAAATCATTTAGGTATATATATATATATATATATATATATTCATCAGTGTTCCAGCTTGAATCTCAGGGCAGAAGGGTGCTAGTTGTCTGAAGGGGTACTTTAGCGTTATAACCCAGATTTTAAGGGCAATGTTGGACAGTGTATAAATTACCTTGAATATTGCTAGGCTCAGCTGGAGAACATTAGTTGTATTTAAACCATATTCAGAAATTAATGTGTGTGTTCTTGATGTTGGTTCCAGTAAGATTTTTTTTTAATCAAATTATCATACCATGAAGCAAAGCATATCATTTTGATGTTAATCTAAACAAACTTGTACATTTGGTAAGGAAAATAATCATCAGAAATTTCAATGTTTTATAACTTATACCAAAATAAACAAGTAGTTTTGAAAGATGGAGTTATACATGCAAAATTGAATGTTTAATGTAATAAAATTATCTACATTTAAATTACTTGTTCAAACATATATTACATATGTTATTGAGAGTTATTAATGATCATTTAAATTGTTACAAAAAAGTATTTTTAAGTGCAAACCAGTGCAAACCAAAGTGCTCCTCAGTAAGGAGTTTTATAAATATAACAGGTGAGACAGGAGATGATCATATTATATTGATGCAATAATATATTGCAGAAGGTATAAACAGTTACTTTTTTCTCCATCATTGTTAAAAATAAATTTGTTGAGTGCTCCTATGTCCGGAGGATTATAAAATACAAGAAGTAAAACAGGAAGTGAATCTTGTTATGTTCAAAGTACAAATTTCTTTGATTCTTCTTTAAATTTCATACTCATGGTTATGAAACAAAACTTTTTTTACCAATTAAGTCAAAACTATGTATGCCTTTAAAATTGTTTAGGATTTTATTTTTTATGTTATGCCTACTGAAATAAATTTTTTATAGTGTACATGCTGTACATAAACATTACAAATGGATAACATGTGGACATTTCATTCTGTATTAAATATCTAGTATTTGTTCAATTATCTTAAATCCACTAATTAGCAGTAAACAATCATTAATAAAGGTGATAAAACTGCCAAAGCATTAGGTATTTAACTTAATCCCATTGTCAGTTAATTAGTGTTACACAATCAGGTAACAATTTTACCGGAAACGCCGGTAGACATGAAATTTGAAAATTTTATTTTTTTGAAAAGGCAGAGGGGGGCATTCTTTGGAGGGCAGAAGGGTGGGGGTAAGGGCACCAAGGGCGGCCCGCCCTTCTATTTAGGGCAGGCAGGAACACTAGTACTGTTCATACATTGCACAATCTAAAGACTTTTATATTTTTGTTTGTCTGTTTGTGCTGTACCATTGTTAAACAGTCCAATATGTACTAAATTTGCTAAATGGTTGTTTTCTATTGCTTTTTTGTTAGCTGAACTAATAAACATGGTTATCTCCCTTAAACAACATCCTGAACAATTATCTCCCCCTTTAAGACCAGTAAACATGGTTATCTCCCTTAAACAACATCCTGAGCACAATTATCTCCCCTTACCTGAACAGTAAACATGGTTATCTCCCTTAAACAACATCCTGAGCACAATTATCTCCCCTTACATGAACAGTTAACATGGTTATCTCCCTTAAACAACATCCTGAGCACAATTATCTCCCCTAACATGTACACAGTTAACAAATTACATCAATTAAACACTGATGCTTTTTCTTTAAATGCTTTCTTCCTTTCCTTTGCTTCTTCAGCCTGTTTCTTCTTTTCCTCTTGTTCTTGTTTTATCTCATTTTCGAATTTCTTGTCCCTTGTTTGAACATCAATCTGCACAAAAAGACAAACAAGTAAACCTTTACCAAAGAATAGTAATTCTTTCTGGAATTCAATATCGCCTATATAAAACATGATACAAATAATACAACAGTGTTGTGCCTAGATTTGGCTAAATTGACAGATGATTTTCACTCTTTTGACCAATTTTTTGTACGACTTTAAGCTACATTGTTGTGATATCATCAAGGTCAAATGTACATGAAAAGTAAAATGCCTTAGCTGATCAATGGAAGAATTGAATGAAAATCAAATTCATTTAAAGAGGGTATCTCTCTAGGGAGTCTATAGTGTTGGATAATCAGTTGAAATTACCAACTGATTATCTATAACTATCGGTTCACAGCAACCAACCGACTATCGGTTATAATGGCATCATTATAGCTTGCACTTTTTTTATGAAAGTATGCATTCACCCATATTGAACATGTCTTATGCATATATTCCCTATCATTGCAGAGTTTTATATGTTCATGTTTGATCTTTTATTTACTTTCTACATTTTAGTTAGCAATTAAAACAGTGAATCAATTACAAACTTAAGATTCAGATTGAACATATTTTTCTTGCATTTACAACATTTATTCACAAAGTTTAACAATGACACTAACATTTATAAATTTTAATGGAATCACTCACACGATAATTTCATATACATACATGTAGCTGTATTAAAATTTGAATGTTTTTCATTAAAAAGATATAAATATATGAAGTATTCAACTATAAGCAACTTAAATCAATATATTAAAACAATGCATTTGCATGAAAATATATACATTTAACTAAGGGGATTTTTATTAAGATCTAATGTTACAGTTGTAACAAATTTATTTTGCTGAAAATTAAACATGTTTTGATGTATGCTCTAGCATAACAAGGAATATTTGAAAGTGAAAGAAAATATTTCATAAAAAAGTTGTTTCTTTTAAATAATATACGACCAATCTGTAAAGTAAATGCTTTTACCAAATTAAGAAAGAAATTGATTATGTCTTTAATTATAGGATGTTTGACATTGTTATGTCATCAGCTGATATTTTTTGTTACAATTTGTATGACTGCGCATGTAAATTGCAAAGGAGAAACAGACTCGAAGTTGATATGTTAAAGTTCCGGTAAGTATAACAACAATCAATTATCTACATCTCTGATTAAGCAACCAACAATCAATCAATCTGCATCTCTGAGCCAAACCAACTGACTTCCGACTTATTCGGATCATCAGAACAACACTGCAAGAAGATATATATGTTTTAAAGAAACTTCTTCTTCGGATTGAGTTTGGTTACTGTCTGATTACACTTTACCCACAAATTGTTTAAATAATAGTGCTGTGGATTCATTTATTTTCGTGAGTACTAATTTTAGTGGATGAAGGAAGAGTGTACATGTAGTTTCGTGGATATTTGATTATATGGTTTATAAACCTATGTAAAATATGTACTTAGTTGAACATTTTTAAAAAGTCATAGTTCATGTATACTCACAATATCCATGAAAATTGATATCCCACATATAATTATTAATTCACAGTAATATTTCACAAAAGGAAGCTATATCACCATTTACATGAAGTTTATAATCTGCAATAATATTCCTTTTTCATTTGTGATGATAATTAAGGCCTATAAAATGATTAAGAAATAAAATGTCTGCTATTCAGAAATTTGCAGAATACATTCTTATTTTCAGGCCCAGCCAACAATAGAACAGAGGGTAGATTATGTTTTCAGGTCTGTGCCTTCATCCATATGTCTGTCTGTCTGTTCATCCCATAGTGGGCTAAAGTTTTTGTTAAAGTGAGTTTACCACGAAGTTCTGGTCACATCAGCTTATTACTTATTACTGTTTTTCCTATATGATGTGATCTTTTCAAAATGTATGATAAATAAGGGTTATGACCAAGATTTCTTTATTAACTGAACATGAAAATGTGATAGTGTGAGCCGGGCATTGTGTCCTATACACAGGTATTCTTGTTATGAATGTTTGAGGGAGTCACGGGAAGTTATCAAAACTAAGATTTTTTTACCTTTAAAAAAACTTTATGAGAAAGTCACAAGAAGATGTCAAAATCATAAAAATATACAAACCTTTGCCTCAAAAAAACTTTTTGCCCCTTTCACTCCTTCAGCATCAACATCAATTTCAGTCATGTTGTCAAACAAAGCCATCAAACCACTATCTGCATCTAACTCTCCTAAATTAGCTTTACGGAATATCAGTAAAAACTACAAGATAAACAACATCATTAGAGAATATCAGTCAAAACTACAAGATAATAATATAAAATCATGAATATAAATGTATCAGTATAGGGTAAAAATAAATGGGGAATGTGTCCATGGAACACAGATGATGCCCCGCTTGCATATCATATAAAGTTATAAAGGGACATAACTGAAGAACGGTAAAAGTGAAGTTACCCAAATTTGTACTTGATCTGAGTTTTGTGGTAATAAGTATTGTGTATAAGTTTCATAAAATTTGGTTGAGGCAAACTTAAGTAAGAGAAGGGAAACGCTAATTTTTCCATTTGTAAAGGGGCATAACTCTAGAACGGTTAAAGTGACACCACCAAAATTCAAACTTGATCTGTATTTTGTAGAAATAAGCATTGTGTATAAGTTTCATAACATTTGGTTGAGGCAAACTAAAGTTAGAGAACGGAAACCAACTTTGGGAGGTAAGGATGTACGTACATACAGACGGACAAGGGTAAAACTTAATGCCCCCTTCACTAAAGGGGGGGGGCATAATTACATGATGATTTCAGCATTAGGGAATATCAGGTAACACTTCAAGATGAAAATATCAGCATTAGGGAATATCAGTATTCACTTCAATATGAAAATATCAGCATTAGGGAATAACACCTAACACTTAAAGATAAAAATATCAGTGTTCATGGTGTTAGGGAATATTGTTATCACTTCAGGTAAAAATATAAGCATTAGAAAATTTCAGCTAACATTTCATTCAGGATGAAAATATCAGCATTAGGAATAAAATGTAAACAATAATACAAAATCATATTAGCAAACCTCTCTAAAATTTATCTTTCCATCGTTGTCTTCATCAATCTCCTTTATCATAGCTTTGAGTGACAGATGGGTTTGAGGTGCTTCTAACTTTTCCATCATCAACTTCAATTCATGGAAATCAATAAACTTATCTTTTCCTGTATCATATCTGAAATAAAACAAAAGTTAAGTGAACTAACAAGAACTTGATTATCTCCCTTTGAACACAATGAACCAGGATTATAGTCGTGTGATAAGATTTGTAAATCATGGAAAGTGTCAAGTTTGAATTGTTTTATCTACCTTTTTGAAATTTCCCTGAAAAGTTAAAGGGTTTGATACATATATCTCAAACAAGAGTGCACACGCTGAAATGTCTCGCCTGCTTTACTGATCATTGATTTTATGTTGATGATCCTATATATAAAGCTTTACTACAAGTATCACATAAACTTAACATGACCCAAGAAAATGAGGCCAAGGTCAGATAAACCAACCTTCAAATACATGTACACCTTGCAATCATTCCATACACAAAATATAGTTGACCTACATGACCTATCAGGGCTCGACATTACCGTTTGTCCGATTGTCCGGGACAAGTGAAAACAGGTGTCGGGCAAGTAGCTATAGATTCACCATACTACTTGTCCGATGGAACAAGTGAAAAATCGATGTCCGATGTGAAATATATCAAATTCAATTGCTTATAGTTTCTAAGAAAAAACTTAACCAGGAAAATTTCTTGACCTATGAACCATGAAAATGAGGTCAAGGTCAGATGAACCATGCCATACAGACATGTACACCTTACAATCAATCTATGCATTAAATATAGTTGACCTATTGCTTATAGTATCTAAGAAGCAAACTTAACCATGAAAATTTAACATTGACCAATGAACCATGAAAATGAGGTCAAGCTAGGTCAGATGATACCTGCCAGACAGACATATACACCTTACAATTATTTCATACACCAAATATATATAATTGACCTATTGCTAATAGTTAAAGAGAAACAGACCAAAGCACAAAAACTTAACACTGAGCAATGAACCATGAAAATGAGGTCAAGGTCAAATAAAACCTGCCAGACTGACATGTACATCGTAAAATATTTCCATACACCAAATATAGTTGACCTATTGCATATGGTATTCATGGTATTAGAAAAAAAAGACCAAAACACAAAAACTTAACTTTAACCACTGAACCATGAAAATGAGGTCAAGGTCAGATGACACTTGCCAGTTCGACACGTACACCTTACAATCATTCCATACACCAAATAAAGTAGACCTATTGCTTATAGTATCTGATATATAGACTTGACCACGAAAACTTAACCTTGTTCACTGATCCATGAAATGAGGTCCAGGTCAGATGAAAACTGTCTGACAGACATGAGGACCTTGCAAGGTACGCACATACTAAATATAGTTATCCTATTACTCATAATAAGAGAGAAATTAACATTACAAATAATCTTAATTTTTTTTTCAAGTAGTCACTGAACCATGAAATGAGGTCAAGGACAATGGACATATGAAAGACAGAAACTTCATAATATAAGGCATCTATATACAAAGTATGAAGCATCCAGGTCTTTCACCTTCTAAAATATAAAGCTTTTAAGAAGTTAGTTAACGCTGTCGCTGCTGATGCCGGATCACTATCCCTATGTCGAGCTTTCTGCGACAGAAGTCGCAGGCTCGACAAAAACTAGTTTTACCCTATCACAGTGTTCTCTCCTGAGCTTTTAGACACAAAGTACATATGTGCAGTGTTTTACCATGGTTCTATCTGAATATGTGCATGCTGTATAACAGAATATATCAAAAATATTAAAACATGTTGATTTAATCTAAGGTAAACAGTGCTATTTCAGTTTCATTTCTTTTTCTTGCCACTCGACATAATCAAGCATCAATCAATCAAACATTTGGTTTTTTCCTTTATATTTTACTTTTCCTAAGTAGATTGCTGTCAGTGATGTATTTGTACTCTTGCATCTGTTCAATGATTAAGAAAAAATGGTGGTCTGAAGGATTTGATCATCAAAATTTTGCAAAGGACTGTACATGCACACAATTTTGGTATTTTACCAAGAACCACTGTCAGGGAAAATAAAATTTCGCAAACTCTGCAACTGCTGAGATATTTACGCTGAAAAAGTTATCACTGATGATTTAAATTGATTGCATGCTGATTTGTGACTCCTTCATATAATATTATACAATTATAATTGTGATTTTTTGTATTAAATAATATCATGATGAATATCTAGGAATGTGCCAGAGTGGATGGTAGCTCAGGGAGTGTCTTAAGGTACATGTCACAGGCAAAAACTTTTAAATACTGCAAATTCAGAAATAAATGCAGGCATTTATTATTGTGAATCCTTGACCGTCCGCAAAATGTGAAACCTAATTAATGGCATTGCAAAAATATTATCGAAGGAGTGAAATTATGAATGCAAGTTTTTATTATTACTAACATGATACTGTCTCATTTTTCACATCTATAACAACATCTCAATGATTTCTGAATTTACAGACAAAGTGATAAGGTAGGAGATGGGGCACGAGTTCACAAAACTATGGCCAATATTTTTTGTTATTGTTGTAACATTGAGAAAGGAGGAAAAATGGAGATTTTCTTCTCATCAGGTTGGAAGTGTTTGACATAAAGTTGGCTTTTTAAAACCATTCAACCTCTTGGGATGTGAATTTGTGGTTTAGAAGGTACTGGATGGATTGTTCATGTAGAGGCTTTGTGGACAAAAAAGGACATATCACTTACCATTTATACAAGGTTCCATTCATCAAGTGTCTATATTAGTAAAAATCAAATAGAAGTATATTGTATGCATCAAATTAAAAAATCTAAACTCTAAACATTATAAACAAAAACAAGAATGTGAATACTAAAAGCTGAATTTGAAAACAAATTCATGTTCAGCTGTTCATCTTGACCTTGAAAAATTCGGTATACAGAAAAATATTTGATTGAATCTGTCACCAAGTGGCAGCAGGGAATAAGCTTTAAAATTTAACTCCAGGGCCCAACTGACAAAATGTGAAAATTTTGTATTGACCATATGTAAAAATCTAGGGGCCAAGCCAAATTTTCAATAGCATTGGCGACTAGGCCCCTGTAAAATTATTCCCTGAACAGTCATTCTGAAAACTGCCAACAAATCATAAACATATTTGAAATGTGTTCTGCAATTAAACCCAGTGTCTCACCTGCTATATATGTTGCTGTCAGAGTAAAATTGTAATGTTGATGACTGCCAAAAACTAAGTCCATTAATCAATAATATACAGAAAAAAAGTAAATAATCCCCAGATGCTATTTCTACTGATCATGCATTCTGTTCTTTTGACACATTCCCCGTTTCCATTCTCAATTGTATTATAAGGGCATTAGCTACGAGATATAAAAAAAATTAAAATATGATTTGTTTTATTCAATCATTAATAAAAGTGAAATAGTGAAATAATAATTCACCTTTAGCAGCCAATTTGATTCAATTTTGTCAAAATAAGCTATGAAATACATGTATTGCTGATGAATTAATTCGTATTCATGTGACCTTCAATTTAGCCCCTTATCTGGACATGTGTTACGCATGTATTCAGCTATCAAAAGGAAAAGAATGTCAACATTGAAAGTGAAACAAGGATGAATTATTTTGTTGACGGATTCAATCCACAAAAAATCATTCTTATACAGGTAAAAGCAGTGATAAACATACTTTTAAACCTACAACCTGAAATCAAACAGACAGAAAAAAATCCAATTGCACGAGGTCACTATCTATTTATATTTATATGAATGTTTACATCGGGTCATATAACCTTGACAGTCTTCGGAGGTCTTGATAGTTAATTAGATGGCGTCTAGACAAAAATACACACGAAATGTTGATAATCGAGTCCATACATTGTTAGTTGTTTATTTTAAGACTTTTTGTATTTTGGATATATATATACGTTTAAGCATGTTAAGTACAAATGAAGTATGTCTGTATGTTATAAATCAAATAGGAAAATTTGAGTCGAATTGGTGAACATGAATTTGACAGCTAATGCCCCTTTAACATGTTTAAGATTCTGTCCAAGTTTCGTAAACTTTCCATGAAGATTTTAACAAAATAATTTTAACTGTGAGCTACTGATATAAAGCATCCTGAATACTTTTTTCAGACATGCATCACAATTTGTTACATCTTCATACATCAGTCAGGGGACATATTGAAATAAGTGATTTTTAAATCACTTATTTAAGTAGCAAATTCGAAGTTTTGTCACAAATTGTGATTTTGTAGTTTTACCAAAATTTTAAACACATAGGTTTAGATAATATCTTTTCATTTAAATAGTAAAATTGAAAAAAAAAGAACTTTTTGCTTCTTTTAAGCAGCAAGGTTTATGCCTTCGATGCAATCATTTAGCTGCAAATTCTATTTTAGTTGAAAAAATGCCATAAAAATGGCTTTACATAATGAACTGATACTTTCTTATTATTTTTAACAGATTTTTCCCAGCAGTGGGAGTATTTTTCCTGTAAAATTCAAGGTTTCATCTTATAGATTATGATATAAAATTCTACTGTTCGCAATCAAAATTTCACTGTTCGGGGGTGTTGAAATTAGTGGGGGTTATTAAAATAATGATACTTAAAGGAGTGATTTTTTGTTAGGAAATTAAGGTATGATACTTAAACAAGTGATTTTTATGTCATTATCCTAGATTTAGTACAAGGTCATCACCTGACATGACCCGCTCATCCTATCAACACAGATGTTGGTTCTGATAATTTTAGCAACATAATCGGTCCCTGGATCATTAGTATTCTATATTTAAAGCTACAATAAAATTAAATCACTTAGTCTAGTGATTAATTTGTACTACTTAAATAGGTGATTATTAAAGAAAGACAACTCTTACTTCTAACCTTTATGGACATAATGTTACTTGAATGAGTGATTTAGAAAATCACTCATTTAAGTAAGTCCCCTGACTGTACATGTGTCATATGAAGTTTCAGCCTATCTATATATATGTACTTAGTTTCTACGGAATTACAAAAATGGACATGATGGAAGAAACGAATATTTAAAGGGCAAAGACCAGGAGTGAACTAATGATTTCAACATGAAATAGCCATTTTATTTCCCTTCGTCCTTGAAGAATCCGGGTCCTTTCGCCCTAATTCCTGTTTGCCCTAATACCTGTTTGATATGGGTCTGTCACCCAGGGTCCATTCCCTCGTAGCTTTTTTATTTTGTTGTTTTGTTGTATAATGTTTATTATTTGAAAAGACTATATATAAGTTTGTTGAAAATTCGCCAAATATTTATCATGTTTATGTTGTATTTCTGCTACCAACATGACCAAATAATCATTTTCCTTTGATCTGCACAGTAGAGAACAAGGATAACAAGGTATTTGATATAAAACAACTGAAGACCATGTCATGCATGTTAGCTGCATGTATTCATCTTTATTGATACATTTTAACAATATCAAAAATCATCATTAACCATGTTAACAGAACTTTATGACAAGATCTAGATCCAATTGGAACTTTGCATCACACAACATTTATGTCCTTACAGTATTATTTTAAAGAGCACATACATCATGTACATTGTATAGGAAATGTTTCAAAACAAACTTGAGATCAAAGAAGCCAAGCTGCTTGCGAAAAAAATTCCCTTTCATGGCTTACGAATCGTACATCATTGTTTTTCCTTATTCCACATGTTCCAAGCTGCTGGCTAGTTTATTTTAAAAAAAAATGTTACTATCATTATTTATCCATCAAAGGCAATTAATACAAAAATAAGTGAGATCAAAGACATCACAATAATACCTACATGACCTAATCGGCAGTCTAAATTACAATCAACAAATATAAGAATAAGTTTATTAAACCTTAATTTATGGCTTAATACCACTATACTAATTTTTTGCCCAGGGCAAACATGCAATCAAGGTGAACAGACCTGATACCGTTTTTGAACATACCCCCCCCCCTTTTTATTCCAACCCCCCTCTATGGACCCTATTTGTCAGGCCAGAGCAGTCCCTCAAAAGATTGAGAAGCTGCTGACATATCGGTAATTTTCATTTAGGTTAAATAAGCATCTGAAAATTTGTGAGTTATGCTTACTTATTGAATATTTTCTGAAAGTCTTGGATCTGTTTACGTGAAAATTCTTTGAACTCTGTGTAAGGGTTGAAAACCTGACTAGATTTAATGACAGTTTCTTCATCTCCTTCGTTGATATTAACTCTCCTCTCAAGCTTCTTTGCCAATTCGTCTGTTGCCATGATGCTTTCTTTTAAATATGTTGTTACAGCGACGAACGATCATAAAACATCACATTACTCAGTACTTGACACTTCCTTCTTCCTCCCTTTAATTACTTCCGGTTACTGTCAACATTGGGACTTGTCATGAAAAGGCCTGTAATCCCGTATCTGTGAAAACCAAGCGTAAAGATTCCGGAGCACCTGATCGAAATCACCCCCAGTTTTTGGTGGGATTCGTGTTGCTCAGTCTTTAGTTTTCTATGATATGTTTTGTGTTTTGTGTACTGTTGTTTGTCTGTTGGTCTTTTTCTTTTTTAGCCATGGCGTTGTCAGTTTATTTTCGACTTATGACGGTTTAAATGTCCCTCAAGATGATATCTTTGACTGATAGTACGTTAATAATGAAAGGATTTATATAGTAAATCTGAACAATTGAAACGGAATTGATTGATTGATTTGATTGATTGATTGATTGATTGATTGATTGATTGATTGATTGATTGATTGATTGATTGATTGATTGATTGCAATGAATAGAAAAAAAAAGGAATATTCATAAATTAATGGACTCCTTTCATGGCAGTGAAAATTTTCCATTATTCCTGTAGTCACATCAGAAATCGGTATCTTCCCTTTCCATCTATTTTTCAAGCTGTTAATGATATTATCGTATTTCTATTTTTTTTATTAACACATATATCTTTTCTGTTATTATTATTATAAAGAGTCATTGCAATCATTGTATCTATATTTAATGTAACTATTCAGCTCAGCTTCAGGAGGTTCTGGATGGGGGCCTTTAATTGTGTATTCTTTATTATTTTTCATGTCATTTTTCTTTATTCTTTATACATTTTGCCTGTTATTCTCTATTTTTTATATTTTAGCACCCCCTTATTTTCAAATCTTTATTTTTTTGCCTATTTGTCTCCATTCTTTATGATTTCTTGCCCTTTATTCTGCACGTTTTGTCCATTATTCTCTATTCTGTTAATTCTGTAAACCCCATCCAGACCCTCCCGTAGCGGGGCGCTGTGATAAGTTGTATACATTATTCTCTACTATCATTAATAAGAACTTATATTGTAACGGTGATGAAATTGCAAAATAAGAATAAGATAAGTGTCGTGTTATGACCATGTCAAGTCTGTAGCATTTTGCATGCTGAAAAGCGAGACAGATTAATTTGATATCAAACCCAAAATGATCCATCACAAAACAATTTGATTGTATATACATGTATCTAAGAAATGTGTTTTGTCGTTGGAAATACATCATTTCTGATTTGCCTGATCAACCAGTTGATTGATTAAGTAAAAGAATTAAACAAGGCAATTAATATAAGTTCCTCCAATTTAGTAGAGAAATCAAGATTTCATCCATTCTCCATTCAGAAGCAAGCATGCAAAAAAAAAAAAGACTAACAAACCTATGACCGTCCCCATATGAAGGCAAAACCGAAAGGATAAGTAATAGTACCGCCCCCTTTTTCGTCCTTAAAAAGAAAACAGAAAACAATGGCCGCCCTTTAATAAAGACAAAATTAATTTCACACGAACAGCTGGGTCCCGTAACTCTAATGAACGCCGGTATTTTTATTCTAAAACTTCAATCAAATATTGTCCTGACCATGCATGAAATATTTGCCACTGGACGTTAAGCAAACAACAATTAATCAATCAATATAATATCTTCTTTTTAAACAATCCCTGCATGATTCTTTTAAATGCACCAACTTAATTGACGGAAGTTATATAGGTATGTATTAAAATGTCATTGCTACTTGTACATGTAGGACTACACGTTATATCTAAAATGTAGAACATATAGCTCCAGGCCCTGGGGCTTTGCAGGAAACTAGGAAGTTAAAATGGTAAGTACTTTTATAATTAGAGTCCAAATCTGACAAAATGACAAAAGGACAACAAGGGATTCCTCTACGATCAAATGTGGTCATTAAACCACAATTTATCATCACTGATTTTTCCTCTGATGAAGATGTTGATTCAGACGAAAATGTCGATGAAAACTGTGATACCGATAATGATAAAGGAAACGATTATTATGATGGAAATTTTTTCAAAAAGCAAAGTTTTGATCATGAAGGCATTGTTCCTATGGAAGTGCTTCAGGAAAATAAACCAAAATCTTTGAATGAAAATGTGACAGAAAATTCGATAGAGGAACAGGAAGAAAAGTCTATCGAGGAGACTGAGAATGAAAAAAATAGAAGAACATTTTTGGATTGGAAACAGAAGTTAGAGGTATTTGATTTGCTGTTCTTTTTTTAAACCCAGTCGTGCTATATATGCATGGGTTATCCTATATTGGAGCGCAAAATATAAATTTAACATGCTCTATGAAAACCCGACCATTTCTGAATTTTTGGAATAGTCGGAGGGTTTTTTGTTTTTGTTTATTTGTTTTTTTTTTCTTTCATTTCTGTACTTAAGTTACTTTTTTTATATATATAATTGATTAAAACGAATACGTACATTTACTGCAGTTTAATTTTATCAACCCTTAATTTCCCTCTTTACTTTGTATTTATCTATTTATTTGCAAGTGTATGACCGTACCGTTCATATAAATATACTTTGTTGATTTCTATTTTTTCTCGTATAATTAAATAAGATAAAATAATAAACTTTTGGGGGAGGGGGAAAAGGGGGGGGGGGGGGGGGGGTGATGTCAGTTGTGAAAAAAAAACCTTTAGATATTAGTGTGGATATTAGGCCGTCAAGGTCATGTGGAATATTTTTACCCTTATTCCAATGAGTGCTCCAATGCCAGTGTGCGACGTTGTAAACTTTGGCCTTCGCCAAAATAAAATCAATCGCATAATAAGCCAAATTCGAGTCAACTTAATTTATGGAACAAAAACGATTCCTCACACAGGTTTAGACAAGGATTTAACATTAATTTTATGACAACTCATATGTGACGTTTTTGAAGAATGTGAATACAATTATTTTTTAAACGAGACAATCGATTGCTGATTTTCTTCTTTCGGTATTTAAAATCAAAGATGGTATTTCACACATATTTCTGATGCTTAGAAAATCATGTGGAGCTTAAATTCATAGTTCCTTGACATGTTGTGCCGGGGAATTTGTGTATTTCACCGTATAAAATTGGAATTTTAATTTCGCATTACAAAAGTGCTATTTTAGATAACTAAAATTATTTGTTTATTTTTTTATTCATTTATTTTCCGGTTGTAGTATTATCAAGAACAAAAATCATAGATCACGACCAGGAACAGTCAGTGTATCCAATGAAGTTTAAATATCTAATTATTTCTGTTTATGAGAAACTTGATTTTTCCATCCTAAATACCTTTGACATTTACATAAATCAGTTAAAATGAATACTTACTGTAATTTTAGAATAAGGAAATCGAATCATTTAATTTCATTTCCATAAGGTTCCTTCTTGTCGATATCGTATTTCGCTATCACGGTCGTATTCCGGGGCCTCTGTACAGGTTTTAGAAAGACACCACGTAAAATTTGTAAACATGGCAGACAAAAGGAAAAATCGTCGAAGAAATGAAAAGGCAATGATTTTTGGTCTCCAATATTATATTTGTATCTTTATTTTTGTACCAAACAAATATCAATCTTAAGGAAAAAAGCGTTATCATGTTATTGGGTTGATTACATACGGGATCAATGCTTATGACGTCCTTTCCGTTGGTGTAACATATGGTCGTTTCGTTTCCTATCTTATTATTCCACTAAATCAAGAATTAACCCCTTGGTTGTAAATAACACAAGGTAAAAATATGGACCTGCAATAACTGTTATAACAGTTTGTTAAAAGTTCAATAACAGATAGACTGGTCCTGCACTGCAGACCTGGATCATTTTGATCTATGACCCAAAAATTCAAGCCCACATTTTGATCAGTCTTATAAGTCAATCAGACCTCAATAGAACCTATAGCTGTTTGGCAATCTACGACACTTGACCTGAGAATTTGCAACACTTGAAATATTGACGTCATACAACAAGCAATTTTCCTTTGTGGTGTCAGACATTTTCTATTGTGACGTAAAATTAGTAATGAGGGACAAATAGCAATAAGGTGTATTGATCTGTCTAAAGAAAGAGCTATCTATACCCAGATGACAAAAAATATGTGATTTTTGGTACATAGTTTCCAATTTTTTTTTCACACAGGACCTCCTCCCTTAAAAAAAAATGCGGCACCCCTTCAGTCCCCTCCCCCTTTCTAAAAATCCTAGATCCATAACAGAAAATTGATTGATATGTGTGGTTGGCTCATAGTAATCAGGTGGATGTCAAAATTCACCTGTACTTTTGTTTACATCATGTAGTACACGATCGTGACGATATCTGTCAAAATATTTAACACCTTTATTTGAAAACATTGTCTAGACCGCAGACCAATGATTATCCCTACTTTGATCTGGAATTAATCTGTTCCAAGGTTGATCTGCACCAGCCTTACAGTTCATGAGTTCCTGCAACAATTACCTGATTACATGGTGTCAAAAAGGATATTTTTTTAAATTACAATATTTATTAACATGATTAAATTAACATGTAAACAGTTACATACAGTTTGCATGTACAAAAAGGCCAAAATGAAAAATAGGTTTGTTTCCCCACGCCCGACCGACCTGAAAAAAGCCCGCAGACTCAAAAAATTTGTTGTCCTTTTTATTTTATTTTATTTTTTCGTCTGACCAAACTCTAATTTCCGGAAAAAGCAATCCGCATTAGACTTCTTTCTTAATGCGTATTTGCGACCAATTCGAACTACTCAGCAATTTTTCGCTATAAGAAAATCAAAATCCACTGAGTGGTTCTGATTGAACTGTGTCGATGGCAGACAAAATTACTCTTTCCTCATAGATCTGTAAGAATAAAAAAATCCACAAACTGGGAAAACAAGAACTCTTGTTAACATGGTTAACAATAGATTGTCAATTTGGAAGGAAGTGTTAAAAGATGTTAGCGACACGGGTGAAGGCAGCTTGTCACAGAACTAATTATTAGTTTATTGTCGAGTGAATGATAATTTTTGTACACTGTTTCTGACATTGATGGTTGTGAGTGGAAATGTTGTTTAATAATGGGTTATTGGGTTATTGGTCATTCATAGTCATACAGCAATCTGTACAAAAGTCAATTGCATTCTAGTCTATCATTTATTGCCAAATACTCTAAGATCATGTTGTGTTTTACTTTTGTTTATACTTTAACAATAGAGTTTAAATGTCAATGTTTTAATTATTGAATTAAAGTTTTCTGTTCTTATTTTTTTTCTTTGTGTGTAAAGAATATCAACATGGTACTGTACACAAAAACTGCACAATTATACGGTTAGAAATGAAAATGATTTGTATGGAACTTTATCAAAATGTACAAAGCTGCTTATCAATAACAGGGTACAATTAAACTTTAAAGTAAAGTTGGACACAGAGCTTAATAAATGGCATCAGCACTAAAAAAGTTTTCTTGCTACAAAACAAAATAGTTTATTTCCTGACACACTCTTTTATAAAAAGTAAAGTTATCTTAATTATCTCCCCTTAAGTTGCAAAGTTCATTTTGCTGAATAGTCTTTCAAATGAAATCCTCTCCTCTCTCAACATAAACATATTTCATTAAAGATCTAGACCCATTTATTTATGCTATTTTACAATCAAAGATGGTGGAAGACACTCCTATCAACTTTAACACCTGTTATGATCTTTAAATTGTCGATCATTTAATCCTTCAGGCTTATAACTGTCATTTCTTGTAATAACAGGTGTGTAACAGGGATGGTAGGGTGCTAGCCTTAATGTTAAACACATTAAGATCTACTTATATCACTCTAGAACAGCAATGTGCTATGTTTGACAGTCTAGTTTTGTCTGTTTTAAAATACGCCTCAGAAATATGGGGTTTTCATCATGCAAATGAAATAGAATCAGTACATAATAAATTTTGTAGATTTGTTTTAGATGTACCCAAAAATATGCCTGTCTGTTGTATCATTGGTGGTCTTGGTCATTTACCTATGTACTGTACATGTGGAATCATTATTTTTGGTGGGATAATTTTTTTTGGTGGATTTTGTGGTTAAAGGCTGTCTAGCTATATAGGCGAACTATGAACTTAAACATTCCACAAAGCACAATTTTCTACTGACTTTCATGCAAACGTTTGTAAAACCATGAAAAATCAAATATCCATGAAAAATGAAATATCCACGAAAATACAATTTTTCTTTTATCCACAAAAATATATATGAATCCAACAAAAGTTGTTTAAGTTCAGGTTAATACTATAACTAAGCAACCAGATATTGTATTTGAAATATATCAACTTCAAGGTGCTGACTGTAATAATGGTATACAAAATTGGGCCACACATACATGACATATAAAAATAAGAAGATGTGGTATGATTGCCAATAAGACAACTCTCCACAAGAGACCAAATGACACAGAAATTAACAACTATAGGTCACCGTACAGCCTTCAACAATGAGCAAAGCCCATACCGCATAGTCAGCTATAAAAGGCCCCAAAATGACAAATGTAAAACAATTCAAATGAGAAAACTAACGGCCTAATTTATGTACAAAATAATGAACGAAAAACAAATATGTTACACAGCAACAAACGACAACTACTGAATTACAGGCTCCTGACTTGGGACAGGCACATACAGAATGTGGCGGGGTTAAACTCGCTATTTATAATTTACTTTTTCAACTAGTGTTTGATAATTTATTGCATTAGCAAGAAAGATTTGATATGAATTTTTGTATTTTAAATGAACTTCTTTTAGATCAATTTAACCAGAGCTGGTGTGCATCTGTAGAGAGCTCTGAAAAATATATATGCCTATAAAGAATCTGTATTAAAATGGATTTTAAGACAGAATAATATATATATGTTGAAAGATATCAATGTTAAAATGTTGCCTTTTAGTATTAAGATTTAGTGTATTAAAATTAAATATAGAGACTGGTCGTTACATTAATCATCAAAGGGAAGGATATATAATTATTTGTAAATGTTGTATTTCATTTGTATCCAATGTTTAGAGAACACCTATCATTTTATTATGGTTTGTCCAGCAGATAAACAGTATAGACTTAAATACTTTTCAAGACATTATTGTACATTGCCAAATATTGATAAACTGCATTTATATACTATACATGCTATAAGTTCAAACAAAATCAGTAATTTACAATTTGATGGCTTTATTTGCGTTGGAAACTGAGAACAAATTTATATTAACGTAGTTAGTTTATAAATATTGTCTTTTTCATAAACAAAGTCAAATGAAAGTGTTCATAATTTATATTGTGTTTTATGCTGTTATATCAGTTATTATACATTTGTTGAAAATCATAATAGTTTTAAAATAGCATACCATAATCTGAAATGTTTGACTTAAATAAAACATGCTTTACTGTCAATGAAATTTTTAATTCTTATATACATCATGTACATTGTGTGTATATGTATATATACCGTAAGTCTATTAACATTAAACCTTTGTCAAATAAACAATAATTGTGCTGTCTGCCATCTCTCTAGGTTTATTGCAAGCTGATATCTGTTGTTTCAACCATTTTATTTTTATCTTATAGAATGGAGAAGAAAAGTGCACAAAAGAGGAATATGCAGTGGCCAAACATCTACGATTTAATATACCTATTAAAGAGGCCAAGTTTGTGGCAATGGGAGAGGAAGTCAAATGTTTCATAGGTTTGTTATATTAGTGTCTGGGTGGGGTTACCAGGATAGAGAATAATGGGCAAATACTACAGAAAAATGGTGAAAAAAATAAAGAATAGAGAAAAATAGGCAAATAAAAAAAAGGATAAAGAATTGATTGATTGCTTGATTGGTATTTGGTTTATTCTGCCTCAGCACAAATAAAGAATAATGGGTTGCTAAAATATAAAAAATAGAGAATAAAGGGCAAAAGATATAAAGAATAGAGAATAAAGGGCAAAAGATATAAAGAATAGAGAATAAAGGGCAAAAGATATAAAAGAATAAAGGGCAAAAGATATAAAAGAATAGAGAATAAAGGGCAAAAGATATAAAGAATAGAGAAAAAAGGGCAAAAGATATAAAGAATAGAGAATAAAGGGCAAAATATATAAAGAATAGAGAATAAAGGGCAACAGATATAAAAGAATAGAAAATAAAGGGCAAAAGATATAAAGAATAGAGAAAAAAGGGCAAAAGATATAAAGAATAGAGAAAAAAGGGCAAAAGATATAAAGAATAGAGAAAAAAGGGCAAAAGATATAAAGAATAGAGAATAAAGGGCAAAAGATATAAAAGAATAGAGAAAATGACCTAAAATATATTTTGTTTAAATCTTGTCCTCACTACAATGTCGTAAGGATTCTTTTACCAGACTTTTTGTATCAAACATTTTAATTTGATGATACTACTGATATAAGAAAATCAACCACTTTGCCCTCCACGACCATGGGAAATAACTAACTCTACTTCATATTGAAAACTATCTACGCAATGTATTTATTATTATACCCCCCGCTTTAAAAAAGTGGGGGTATACTGTTTTACCTCTGTCTGTCCGTCCATCAACCCGTCCATCTGTCAGTCCGTCGGTCTGTCCCATGAATATTTTTCGTCGCATTTTTCTCAGGAACTACATTACAAGGATTTCTGAAATTTGGTTTCAGGGTTTATATGAGTCAGCTATACCGTGTGATACGTTTTCAGCTCATCACTCAACAACTTGTCTTCCTGTTTACCTTATACTTTTAGCGGGCGGGGGTATCATTAGTGAGCAGTAGCTCACAGATTCACTTGTTTCACCTGCAAACTGAAATCAACCACAAGAATTTGAATACAAAAGCTTAATTAATTTTTCCTATGTTTTGTGTATGCAACTCTTCTGATGAAAGAAACAGAATGGCATGTTCATTCAATAGAAGAACAGAGTACATCTTGAAGTTGTATCCATTACGTTACAACTTCCACCATGGACACCACCATAATGACGAAATCTCCCAAAGCTGTAATATGAAAATAAGAAGATGTGGTATGATTGTCAATGAGTACACCTGTTTAAAAAGCAAAGTTTGTAGGAAAAATTGAAGATATTGAATTAACATTAAAGAAAATTTATGTCAGTCAGTGTACTGGACTACAGGTACGTTTTAATTTGTTCTGATAGAAATGAAACAGAATGGAAATTTTTCAAAAATCTTTTTTTTTAAACTTTCAGCTAAGGATGCTGTGGATGCTTTAATGGATTCAAAATGGGCGAAAAAATCTGACGGTGAAATACAGATCACGGACAGAAAGTCATGTGTTAATCTGATGAATACGTAAGTTAGATCATTTATCATTGCAATTGTGCTATTTGCACTGTCAAATTGCATGGACTGTAGATATGTTTGTAATAAACAGTCACTGACTGTATAATGCCTTATTTGTGATATTGATAATGTGTTTCCGTAGAGTTTTATTTTGGACATCAATAAAGAATACAGGTTTTGCTGAATTTTTAAGTTGTTCGCTCAAATAAAAGTTGTTGTTTTTTTGCTCAAAATATTTCATTTGGAACAGTTGTAAGAGTTGGAGTATAAATTGAACAACCAAGCATGTCTTGAAATGTATTTATCGATTTTGCCTTTTAATTTTTGTCTCGCCTTGACGGAGTCAAAAAGCGAGACATAGGTATGCTGTTTCTGGCATCGGCGGCGGCATCAACAATGTATTAGTTTGTGATTAGGTCTAGTTCATGGTGAACCACTAGTGGTAGGTCAATGATATTTGGTATGCAGTTGTATTAGCATTGGCACATCTCATTACCATGGAGATTATTTGTCCCCTCCCCCTCAGTCAAGGTCTATTGACTTTGAAACTCTTTCATAGTTTACATGTTTTAGTTTGTGATTAGGTCAATTTATGAGGAACTACTAGTGGTAGGTCAATGATATTTGGTAGGCAGTTGTATAAGCATTGGCATATCTCATTTCCATGGAGATTATTTGGCTCCGCCCCCTTAGTCATGGTCTATAGACTTTGAAAATTTTGCTAAGTTAACATGTATTAGTTTGTGATTAGGTCAGTTCAAGGGGAACCATTAGTGGTAGGCCAATGTTAATTGGTGTTCAGTTGTATAAGCATATCTCATTTCCATGGAGATTATTTGGCCCTGCCCCATCAGTCATGGTCTATTTACTTTGAATCAGTTTGTGATTAGATCAGTTTAAGATGAACTGCTGATGTTAAGTCAATGATATTTGGTATTCAAATTTATTTGCATAAATTTTGCAAGTATCGTTTCCATGGAGATTATATAGCCCACCCCTGATCATGGTTCATTGACTTTGAAACTTTTACATAGTTTACAAGTTAATGTTTGTGCTAAGGTTTGTTTAAAGGGAACGACTTATAATAAGTCGATGGTATTTGGTATGCAATTGTATTAGCATTGGCACATCTCATTCCATGGAGATTGTTTAGCCGTGTACCTTCATTCATGGTTCATCGACTTTGAATATTTGCATAACTTACATGTTAAAGTATTGCTATTTTAACTTCAACATTTGCATTATCAAAATTACATATCTCTGTGATAACAGTTTATTTATATACTTTGTTTAAATTAAGATGCGGAAATCATCGTTTGCCTGTGGAGACGGGAAGGTGGCAAACTATTCCGAGATCGGAAAGGTCTTGTCACCTCTGCAGCTCTACAGATATTGGCTATGAATTTCACTACATTATGTCATGCAATTTTTTCAACATAGAAAGAGAAAAATATTTACCACATTATTGTAAAAAAAATGTTAACATTATTTAATTTAATCATATATTCTCATCTGAAAATGTTGTTGAATTAGAAAAATTGTGTAGATTTATACGATACATATCATTGAAAGTCTGTCCTCCTGGTTAGAGGAACTGTAAAACTAGTATATTGTTATTTATTTTCACACATGTGAAACAAAATATGTATTTTATATGAACTGTTATTTTCTCTGTAGCTATGTACTAGTTTAGGACAATAAAATCATTCATTCATTCATAAATTTTATTAGTGCTCAGCTTGAAAAATGCTCAGTAAAAACTTGCATTCTACTTGTTTCTAAGCCTCAAACAAATCATTTTTATATTTAAGGCAATGCATAATTATTTTTTTTATTTAGAGTACTGAACTTAACCAAAAATAAAAATAGAATTTAAGACAAAAATGTTTAAAACATGAAATATGAACTAATCCAAAAAATTTTAGAAATAGGTCAACAAAAATTCATTAAATGAACTAAACCAAAGTATTGCAGAAATTGTTGCATGCATTTATGATAGCAACTTTATGAATATATTATCTTTGATCAATTGTGTAATATTTGTACTTTTTTTTATTGCAGTTTCCTTCAAAAAGGACTATTCCACAGAGCAGTTAAAGTGGAGAGAAAGAAAGATAAAAGTGACAAAGCAAAGAAAAAGAAAAAAGATGATGATGCTATTGAGGAGGTTTGTGGATAGTTAAAACAGTTTCCCCATTTTTCAAAACTTGCTTTCTGCTATGTTATGTTAAACATCACTAGCTTTTAAGTTCTTGGTTTTGAGCATTCCTGATGAAGGCCTAGATCAGGAAATTCGCTTCAAGGGCAAAAAAAAATAAAAAAAATATTTTTTATTTTGTAAGAGTTGCCATTCTTTGAATGTCATTCAATTCTGAAATTTTTATTATTTTTCATAATAAGAAAGTGTGGAAAAGCGTAAAATTAAAGATAAAACAAAATCTAAATGAGAGGTGAGTTAAAAAATATAACTTTCTTGAAAGTAACATCCAAACAACATCCCAAATGTGAGGTTACTCTTGCAAAATATTTATGAAAATACTGAATTAGAATATTAACATGGATGGTAAAATTATTATTTTCTTTAACATATATGAAGAAGAATAAGAATATTAACAAAGAAGTTTAAAATTGATTTTTATGCCCCATTTATGGGCATTATGTTTTTATCAGTCAGTGCGTCCGTTCGTCTGTCTGTCTGTCCCGCTTCAGGTTAAAGTTTTTGGTCAAGGTAGTTTTTGATGAAGTTGAAACTTAGTACACATGTTCCCTATGATATGATCTTTCTAATTTTAATGCCAAATTAGAGTTTTGACCCCAATTTCACGGTCAACTGAACATAGAAAATGATAGTGCGAGTTGGGCATCCATGTACTATGGACACATTCTTGTTTTCTTTGCCATAGTGCACATTGTGTAGATATTATACATAGGAAAGGCAAATCTAGATTAATGTTAGAATAGAAAGATAAATATACATAAATGAAATACCGGTAAACATACAAACTTAAGGATGTTCGCTCCTCTGGGTTTTTGAATTTTTGTCAGATATTCGGAATCCTCTGGTTTTACCCATGTAGTGCCATTAAAAAATGTGCCCATTAGCCCCTACTTTTCTTTCCATAATTTGATTACATATAGTTTAAAATGTCATCTCTGAAAATCTTATAAAATCCTTGTTATTTTTTCATCGTTTTTGAAAGCAAAAAGGTGCCAATGTTAAATGTATGAAAAATCTAGAGAGAATTATTTCCCGCCAAATTTTCAATGGCTTATATCTCGAAAACAAGCACACGGACCCTTCTTTTTTTTCTGCTTTTTTAGTTTCTTTATTTGTATACTATCAATTTGTATCAGTCTTTTAAAAAGCTTGTTATTTTGAAACAGAGTAGCGAACATCCTTAATTACTGTGGAATCATTATAATTAATTGATACCAATTTTGCTCCTTGCAGCAATGATTTTGTCTTTAAAACGAAGTCTATTAATAGTGAAAAACATTATGTTTATGCTTTATGAATCTTGTGTTTCATTGAACTGGGAAAATTTAATATGTATCAGATATATATACCTTAATACTGTAATGCTGGGGTTGAATGCGTGATTTAATTTTAACTATATTATAAAAAAAAAATCGTTTTTGAGATAAAATACCAACTAAATTATATTTTTACAAAAACATATTCATGATGTTGGTTGACAAAATTTGCTGAATCAGTATGAATTTTTTTTTTTTAGGATAAAAAGTCAAAGAAGGAGAAGAAAAAAGCCATCACAGATGGACAGGAGAGTGAGTCAAAAACAGATGAAAAAAAGAAAGACAAGAAGGTTTGATTTATGATATGTTTAACTAGAATCAATAAAAAGAGATTTGGAATAAAATTGGTTATACATCCTAGCAAAATAGAGATACAACAAGAATGTGTCCATAGTACAAGGATGTCCCACTCGCACTATCATTTTCTATGTTCAGTGGACCGTGAAATTGTGGTCAAAACTCTAATTTGGCATTAGAATTAGAAAGATCATATCATAGGGAACATGTGTACTAAGTTTCAAGTTGATTAGACTTAATTTCATCAAAAACTACCTTGACCAAAAACTTTAATCTGAAGAGGGACAGACGGGCTAACGAACGAATGGACGAACGGACGCACAGACCGAAAAACATAATGCCCCTAAGTGGGGCATAAAAAGCAGTCAGCTGAAAATCCGTTTGCCAATATTTTAAAAGTTGAAATGAAGTATGAATTTTTGAAATGGATTATTATCTTTAAATCTAGAAGTAAAATGCCTCACATTTAAAATTTGTAAATTTAATTGTCACAAGAGAAAGACTATTGTATCACTCAATGCAATGGTAGAATCTATATATCCAAGTATTAAAAAATGTGTTAACTTCTCTGTTAAAAACAACAGATATTTCAAAAAAAGGGTAAACTGAACACAGCAAGGATTTGACAGAGAAAGGGTAAAAAGACAACTAACTTACTCCTAATAGAAATTTATCAAATTAATATTTAGAAAGAATTGCTTTAGAAAATCTACTATTTTAGAAAAGTAATTTGCTGCTGTTAAACTTTCAGGATGAAGACAAAAAGGAAGAAAAGAAAGAAGAAAAGAAGAAGAAAGAAAGAAGACTGAAATTAAATATGCATGACGACCAAATCTTCCTTGACGGAGATAATGTAAGTTTCATTTGTCAGTTGTCAATTTTCCTTCATAGTTTTTTCAGACTTTCTAGACATACCTGAACCTTATTGGTTTTGTTTCATAGAAATTTTCGATACAGTTCAGCATATTTTTCTGTATTTAGCATGTTCTTGATTTTACTAAGACAACTTTTCATTGGGAGCTAGTGTTGTTCAATCAATTGTCCAAATATTTTTTTCCTGTTTGTCCTTGAAAAAAATCTGCTGGTCCTCACTTAAGAAATGAATGCTTCCTTTTGTAATTTTTATTGGGGTGTAAAAGTGTTGACGGAAGCACATTTTGTATGAAGCGTGGAAGTGCTTCATTCTAAAAGCGTATGCACCATTAACACTTCTACACCCTAATAAAATTACTAAAAAAAGCATTCATTTCTTATAATTACATTTTTATGCTAATATAATAAGACCACGAAAAAAAAGTTTTGTCAAGGTTTTCTTTTATTTGTCTGTGCAATTTTTTGTGGAAGCACATGTCATCACAAATGTAACATTTCATTTTGATATGAAGGTTAATTTTTGAATGACGCCCGGTTATTGTTAGCCAATCAAACTATCCAATTCTCTTGAAACATACATGTAATGTAATATTACTATTGCTATTGCAAAAAAAATAAAAAATTGTGTTGGTCCTTTGCAAAACCATTCGGACCACCACTTTTCAAGACGTCTGAGTTGATATCTGTGACTGGTTGGTTATCTGCTTACAATAATTATGATGGCGAGATTGGCGTCTTTAAATAAAACTTTTGAAAAGATGACAACTTTGACATGAAGAATCCTTGGTAAACTAGCTTTCTTGTAACTTATAACCCTCCATCAAGAAAATCAATATAGGAAACACAAGCCCTGGATTGATTGATTGATTGATTGTTGGTGTTTTAACGCCACTTTTAAGCGCCACTTTTGGGCTATTTCGTGGCGGCCAGTTTTTATTGGTGGAGGAAGCCGGAGTGCCCGGAGAAAACCACCGACCTTCGATAGGAAAACTGACAATCCTAGTCAATTAAGATTGGAGTCGAGTGCACCCGCACGAGCGGGGTTCGAACTCACAACCTCAGTGTTGACTGGCTAGTGATTACAGAAGTGGAACTGCTTAGACCACTTGGCCACCGAGGACCCCACAAGCCCTGGAACAAATATTCCAAATAGATTTGAAATACAGATCATGTGTGTATACTTTGCTTACAAGGACATAAAAATGATTTGATCAAGGTTTTGTTTAAAAGATTTTTTTGGATTCTCCAGTTTTTTGTCGAGCCTGCGACTTTTGTCGCTAAAGCGAGACATAGCGATCCTACATTCCGTCGTCGTCGTCGTTGGCGGCGTCCACAAATATTCACCCTGTGGTTAAAGTTTTTGAAATTTTGAAAACTTTCTTAAACTATCCTGGAATTCTACCAAACTTGGACAGAAGCTTGTTTATGATCATAAGATAGTATCCAGAAGTAAATTTTGTAAAAAATAAAATCCTGTTTATCCGTATTTTACTTATAAATGGACTTAGTTTTTCTGCCAGTTAACATTACATTCACTCTGGTTAAAGTTTTTAAAATTTAAATAACTTTCTTAAACTATCCTGTATTTGTACCAAACTTGGACAGAAGCTTGTTTATGATCAAAAGCTAGTATCTAGAAGGAAATTTTGTAAAAATTTATTTACTGTTTTTCCGTATATTACTTATAAATGGACTTAGTTTTTCTTCCAGTTAACATTACATACAGTCTGCAGTTAAAGTTTTAAAAACATGTATTAGATTCATAAACCATCCTGGATTTTTACCAAACTTGGATAGAAGCTTCTTACAATCAAAAGATAGTATTTAGAGGAAAATTTTTAATAATTTTTTCCCCATTTTTGCTGAGCCTGCGACTAACAGCAAAAGTAGGCGAGATACTGGGTTCCTCGGAACCCTTACAAATTTTTCATAATGATACACATCGTCAAAAATTTGGAAACAGAAATTTCATTGGTTGATGTAATAATTACCAGAACAGAAAGTAGAACAGAATGATTTTCTATCCTTAGTAGCAAAGAGTGGACATAGGATCTGTATTTTAATCAGATTGCATCCTGGTCTTTTTTTTTAATCACATGATCAGCTATAATGCAGATTTCTAGATGAGGCAGAAAGTAGAATAATCGAAACAAAGTTTTGCTTGACAATACAAGATTGATGAAAGTATAGAATTAATGTGTGAAATAAAGTTATACTTTTATATTTTCTAGATATATGTGTGGATATATGACCCCATACCAGCAAAGACATTTTTAATTGGACTTCTTATGGGTGAGTTTGACTTCTATTATTTTGTAGGTACATGTATATGTTTTTTGTACATGTATGTCAAAGGGGACTTTCAATGGTTTCTCCATTGTATTACGGTAGTTTAGCAAAAATTATATGAATCAGATTAGCCAATTTATTGATATAAAATTAAGAAGATGGGGTATGATTGCTACTGAGACAACTCCACCAGAGACTAAATAATGTTGAAGTTAATAACTATAGGTAACATTACAGCCTTCAACAATAAGCAAAACACATAATGTATCTATTAAAATGATTGCTAATAAGTGAACAAAAAAGCATGATTGATTAATGAGATTTCAGGAAAAGCTGCATACAAATAATACAATTAAAATTCAAAAGACCAGTTTTAATGAATGTTATACTAATTTCGTTGCATTTTTTACAAAAATTTGAAATAAAAATAGATATTGATATCTTTCAGATTTACGCATGCGAAATAAAAAAACAATGATGTTAATTCTATTTTTATCTTTTACAGTTGTGGGAGCTGTGGCATTCTGTTTGTTTCCCCTGTGGCCAGATGAAATACGAATTGGTGTTTACTATCTTAGTTTAGTTGGGGCTAGTTTTGTTGGATTTGTTCTATTTTTAGTTGTTTGTAAGTATTGTTTATTTTTTGTAAAGGATATTTTATGAACTTTTATAAATTACTGTAAAAAGTCATGTATAATCCATATTGATCTATTATCAGTCCACCATCTTTTCGTCAGTAGTTTTGGGTAAACGTTTTTTGTCGCATGAATTCATGAAAAACTTTTATCGTCTGGATGAAGCTCTGAAAAAGTTTCAAATGTTGTGTAGGGTATTTATATAGGAAAAGGCCGGCTTTCCTTTATCAAAAATAAGTTAGAAATGTTGATAAATGAATCTAGACCACTTCATAAGTATTGAAATAATTAAAACACAAAAAACTATTTTTTTTTTAATTTGTGTTTGTCATTTACCAGAAATGGGAAAAGTATGTGTAAATCGCCAACAAATTTGGTAGTTAGGGTTAGGGTTAGGGTTAGGGGTAGGTAGGAATATTTTATTTAATAGATATAACAAAAGAATTTGACTAAAAGTAAAACAGGGCTATCATTTAGTAAAATACTACTGTAAATTCAGAAATTATTGCGATATTTCTATTAATGTAAAAAATGTGACAATTTCAGGTTCATTTGTAGAATTTTTGCAATTATATTAATAAGATTTTACATTTTCTGCCAGCGATTAAGGATTTAGAATAGTAAATACATGCATGAATTCCTGAATTTACAGTTTTTAATTTATTCAACACTTTCATATTTGAAGGTTCTTTAGCTAAAACAAAACACTGGCTGTAGTCTGAAACACCAAAACTGAACGAATAAACCAATTACATTTTTCATTTGATACATAACCATTATCATGATGAATCATGACTTAGACAATGACTAGATAGGACATAGGTCTCTTATTAAAAAATTTATGAATCAGCTTTCTTTTCATAACGTCTTAAGTAGCACCAATATTGCATTACCTTGAACATCAATGAACACAGTTCAATTTCCATTGGATTTTAGGACAGGAAACACACAGCACATAAGTTGACAACAGAGATATATGGTGTATACTGTATTATTTTCTATATTTAACCCCTTGATACTCTTGTCAGGTGGTAGTGTGTGGGGGTATGTGAAATCCTGACTATTGAAAAAAAAATAAAAGATAAAAAAAAAAATCTTTTGACTTTATGTTTGTTATAACTAATTATATATCTGACTTGAATATTTAATTTGTCGAACCCTTCAGGGCTCTGTGTTCCCTAGGTCTAAATGTGGTTGAAATTTGGACGATTTTATCAACTTTCAGCAAAATCTCGATTTTTGACCTATTTGGGGTGTAAATGTCAACCAATGCTTTATAAGAAAAGCTCAACAAAAAAAGTTCTATTTCACTTTCTTACATGTCTTTTTATCAACTTCAAATTCTTTTTATTTTTAAAAACTAACAACAAATGTATTGTACTGTGAAGCTATACTGTATATACGATGTGTTCACTTTAAAGAATACATAAATTATTTTAAGCTTAAACTCTTCTGTTTATCCATTCCAGTGAAACAGATATTGTTTTGTTTGCTATGGTTACTGACATTTGGAAAAATACATTTCTGGCTGTTCCCAAATTTAACAGAAGATGTTGGAGTTCTTGAATCTTTTAAGCCATTTTATGAAGTTAAACGACCAAGTGAAACGAAAAAAGCCAAAGACGTTAAAAAGGAAATGAGAAAACGGAGGGAAAAAGCTCTTGAAAATGAAGAAACGGAGAGTGAAACACAAGAAATGGATGCCGAAAAAACAGAAGAACAGGGATTTGAAATGGTATCTCATGAAGATATTACTGAAAATGGGGATAAAGTTCAAGATGAAAATGATGAGGAAGATAAAGATCATGAAGGAGATGATGAAGATGTTGGAGAAGAGGAGGAAGTGAAAGACAATGAAATGGGAGACAACTCTGACAATGTTGATGATAAAAAAGATAAATGAACAATTTTTTCGTGGTTTTAATCTAGTCTGTTATCATTCGGGAAAATGGATTTTGTTTCAATAGAATAGCAAAGATGAGGATAAAAGTGATCCTTTTAAAGGTCAACATTAACATTGGTTTGATATTCATGTCATATATATAGCTTGCATAATTTAGTCTTTTGAAAAATTTCAAGATTTTGTCTCATCCAGTGGTTCAAAAATTAAAATGTGGTGGCCCTGTTCATTTCCTTGAACCATTGGAGGAAACAAATTATGGGTCCATTTTTTTTACTGGTAGTCAGAAAAGAAAAAGAAAATTTTTGAATTTCATTTCATTGTATCATAAGACATTTCCACAAAGACTGTCATCAAATAAAAATGAAAAGAAGAACACAAATAGCTGCTTCATGAATCAGATTTACTTTAAATTTTGCTGTCGTGACAGGAAAATAAACATCAGGGAACCTGAAGTAGAAGGGCAGGGTACCAGTTAAAGGTATAAAAGTACCAGGAGCCTCTAAACATGTATACAATTATTACCAAAGTAGCATGGTCATTTATATTTGTATTCAGGGCTGTTCCATTAAGATAAATGTTGAAGGAGAGGAATGGAAGTTTTGTTTTTAAAGATGGTGCATTTAATGTATTCTAAATTTCTTAAAGATAGTATGTTTGTTGTGTTATTATTAAAAGTTCCTCTCTAACCTCCAATATTTGTTTTAATGGAATAACCCTAAGTATATTGGTCATAGCCAGATAGTTTATATTTAAACCAAATATTAAAAAATAATCACTTCATAACTGCAGAATTTAGGACACAGGCTGACCTTAAATTTTAACACTGGATATATATTAAATAAGACAACTTTGCCCAAAAAACTCCTTAAAAAGCTGACAATATTAATCTAAGAAATAATATAAAAGGGTCCATTAAAGTTAATTATTAAGATTTTAGGCCATTTTATGATCTTTTAAACATTTTTTCATACATTTTGCTGTCTAACTTTAGGTTATGAGGTCCTGGTATTTCCATGATTGTTTGTCTTGGAAATAAACTGATGTATGTTTTATGAAGTGAATAACCAATGCTCTAAATATTTTTGTTATTGTTAAAAAAACTCATTATATGAATTTAAAAAAGATTGGTCTACCTGTATTTCTAAGGGGTGGCAGTTATTTCCTGGCTAGAATACTGTATGTACCGTTTCAAGTCATCTTCAAGCCATGCTTTTTTCTGATCAGATGTAAGCTTTTCATAGAAGACAGCTGCCTCATGCACAAAATATTTCATTACTATTAAATTAAGTAATGCGTTAGAATCAACACTGGAGTACTGAGAATGGTTGTGCATCTTATTTCATTTAAACATGTGATAAAGAGAAAATTGTTGCACCACATTTTACTGTTCATTCTTCAACATCTACCAAGAGATAGCAAGGAAAATCGTGCACCATTGTTCATTATTCATTATATGCCATCCCATAATATTTATTATTAATTGTATATCTATTCAGTATTGTCATTAACATTTGAATACATGTAATAAAGGAAGGAAGACAAAACATGCTTTGCTAAATCACAATTGTTAATTCTTGATTGCTATAAAAATTCAAAAAGAGTGATATATGAAAGAAGGTCTGGATGGCAGAGGTGGTGTTCATTTTCTATATTCTTTAATTGTCTGGGTGTTTTTAGCTCACCTGGCCCAAATGGCCAAGCTAGCTTTTCTCATCACTTAGCGTCTGTCGTCGTCCGTTAACTTTTACAAAAAATCTTCTCCTCTAAAACTACTGAATTAAATTAACCAAACTTGGCCACAATCATCATTGGGGTATTTAGTTTAATGACCCCACCTGCCAATCAAGATGGCCGACATGGCTAAAAATAGAACATAGGGGTAAAATGCAAGTTTTGTCTATTATTTTGGAAACCGTTATATAAAGAGAAAATCTGACATATGCAGAAATGTTCAAAATGATGTGCTCTACCAATTGTCCTTTTATATCCAAACTGTCGGGGTACTTCTTATAGGAGTTATTGCCCTTAAATGACAAATTTTACCATTTTTATTCCAATTTGCCTATTATCTTGAAAATAATAATAGATACAGTGAAACTTTAAATTTCAAAAATGATCAGCAAGATCTACTAATAAGTCTGCATGGTCGAAAATCGTCTGTCGACTCCTCATTAGAGTTATTGCCCTTTGATGATGATTTTGATCTATTATAGGGTTTTTATACAACCGCAAAAATTTTTGCGGTCGTATATTGGTATCACGTCGTCGTCGTCCGAAGACATTTTGTTTCTGGACAATAACTTTAGTATTAGTAAATAGAAATCTGTGAAATTTAAACATAAGGTTTATAACCACAAAAGAAAGGTTGGGATTGATTTTGGGGGTTATGGTCCCAACAGTTTAGGAATTAGGGGCCAAAAAGGGGCCTAAAAAAGCATTTTTCTAGTTTCATGACAATAACTTGTGGAACAGTGTATGGATCTCTCTGAAAATATACCACAAGTTTCCATACCACAAAGGGATGGTTAGGATTGGCTTTGGGGGGTTATGGCTCAAATTGTATAGGATTAGGGGCAAAAAAGTGAGAAAAAACAAGGGTGTCCTGGTAAATGGACAAATACTTAAGTAAAAATTACAGAGTAAGGGAGGTAATTCAAACACAACTTTGAATTACCTCCCTTACACTGCTTTAAAATTATGTATAAAGAATTTTTGTATTGTTTTGAGGTGATTAGCTATCAATTCATTTTTAGAAGTTACTATTTTAATAATTTTAAAAATGCTGATTAAGGTAAATTAATTTTAGCTATGATTATGTATGTCATTTTCTATTTTAAGACTTTTATGATTTATTTAAATGGGTTATTATGTTTGCAAACTCCATTAGGTCAATTCGCAACAGCAAAGTGTATTGCACAAAAGCAAAAAATTGAATATAAATTCAAATCATATAACCAATTCTAAGTTCTTTGACTACAGTTATTCTGTGTCAGAAACCTGTTATGTGTCAAATATTGAATTACAATCCAAATTCAGACCTGTATCAAGCACGAATATTGTGTCCATTTTTGCCCCAACTGTTCAGGGTTGGACTTCTGTGGTCGTATCCAACTGCACTCGGCGAAGCAATTTATTGCCTTATATTTAAAAAATTATAATACACAGATTGAAACTTAAATAAACAAAAATGATCAGCAAGACAAGATCTACTATTAAGACAATATGGGGAAATCATCCAACAACTTCTTATTGGAGTGATTGCCCTTTAATGACGATATTTGCCAATGTTTTTTGCGTTTTGCTTTATATGATAAACATTATAACAGATAAATAGAAACTTTTAATAACAAAAATGATCAGCAAGGCAAGATCTACAAACAAGATATATTTTGTCAATATAGTTAGTAGACGGTCACTCTTTATATTTAGGAGTGATTGTCCTTCAATGAGGATTTTTATGCCCCCGCCGTAGCGGAGGGGGCATTAAGTTTTACCCTTGTCCGTCTGTACGTCCCAAAATCTTTAGTTTGCCTCAATTAAATGTTATGAAACTTATACACAATGCTTATTACCACAAAACACAGATCAAGTTTGAATTTTGGTGGCGTCACTTTTAGTGTTCTAGAGTTATGTCCCTTTAAAAATGGAAAAATTGCTGAATTTATCGTTCCTGTTCTCTTACTTTAGTTAGCCCTTCTTGAGTTATGTCCTTTTATAATGTTATATGCAAGCGGGGGCATCATCTGTGTCCCATGGACACTTTCTCCATTTATTTTTACCCTCTTTTGTGTTTTGAGCAAAAAATAAAGAAGATAGAACGAAACTAAACAGACAGAACGATCAGCAATACAAGATCAACAAAAACGAGATTTTTGTCATGAATTCTATTCTCCTCTACAATGTTGGATATATAGTGTCCTTTGTTGAATATGCACATGTACATAGACCAAGGTGAGGGACACAGGTTCTTTAAAGCCTCTAGTTCTCTTCTTGTTTTTGTTTGTTAATTTTCTCTATTCTTTATACATTAGCACCCCATTATTCTCTATTCTTTAATATTTGTATTCCCTTTTTAGCATACCTGGCCTGAAGGACCAAGTGAGCTTTTCTCATCACTTGGCGTCCGTTGTCGTCTTCTGTTAACTTTTACAAAAATGTTCTCCTCTGAAAGTCTACTTGGCCAAATTTAACCAAACTTGGCCACAATCATCATTTGGGTATCAAGTTTAAAAATGTGTCCGATGACCCCGCCTGCTAACAAGGAGGCCAACATGCTAAAAATAAAACAAAGGGGTAAAAAAGTTTTGTCTATTATTTTGAAAACGGTTATAAAAAGAGAAAATCAGATAAGGGCAGAAATGTTCAGAATGTTGAGCTCTACTAATTGTTCATGTATGTCAAAACTGTCAGACGACTTCTTATAGCCCTTAAATTAGAAATTTTACCATTTTTTTCATTTTTGCCTATTATCTTGAAATCTATAATAGATAGAGAGAAACCGCCTGCTAACCAGGATGGCCGACATGCTAAAAAAAAACAAAGGGGTAAAAAAGTATTGTCTATTATTTTGAAAACGGTTATAAATAGAGAAAATCAGACAAAGGCAGAAATGTTCAGAATGTTGAGCTCTTACCAATTGTTGATGTATGTCAAAACTGTCAGACGACTTCTTATAGCCCTTAAATGAGAAATTTTACCATTTTTTTTCATTTTTGCCTATTATCTTGAAATCTATAATAGATAGAGAGAAACTTTAAATAGCAAAAATGATCAGCAAGACAAGCTATACAAATAAGTGCCATGTCGAAATCATTAGTCGATTCCTTATAGAGGTATTGCCCTTTGAAGATTTTTACCAATTTTTGTCGAGCCTGCGACTTTTGTTGCAGAAAGCTCGACATAGGGATAGTGATCCGGCGGCGGCGGCGTTAGCTAACTTCTTTAAAGCTTTATATTTTAGAAGCTAGAAGACCTGGATGCTTCATACTATGTATAAAGATGCCTTATGTAACGAAGTTTCCGTCTGTCATATGTCCATTGTCCTTGACCTCATTTTCATGGTTCAGTGACTACTTGAAAAAAGAGTCAACATTTTTTGTAATGTTAATTTCTTTCTTATTATGAGTAATAGGATAACTATATTTAGTATGTGCGTACCTTGCAAGGTCCTCATGCCCGTCAGACAATTTTCATTTGACCTCGACCTCATTTCATGGATCAGTGAACAAGGTTAAGTTTTCGTGGTCAAGTCCATATATCAGATACTTTAAGCAGTAGGTCTACTATATTTGGTATATGGAATGATTGTAAGGTGTCATGTCCAACTGGTAGGTGTCATCTGACCTTGACCTCATTTTCATGGTTCAGTGATCAAAGTTAAGTTTTTGAGTTTTGGTCTTTTTTTCTAATACTATATGCAATAGGTCAACTATAAATGGTGTATGGAAATATTTTATGATGTACATGCCAGTCTCACAGGTTTTATTTGACCCTGACCTCATTTTAACGGTTCATTTCTCAGTGTTAAGTTTTTGTGTTTTGGTCTGTTTTTCTTCAACTCTAAGCAATAGATCAACTATATTTGATGTATGGCAGGATTGTAAGGTTTATATGTCTGTCTGGCAGGTATCATCTGACCTTGACCTCATTTTCATGGTTCATTGGTCAATGTTAAGTTTTCATGGTTTAGTTTGTTTCTTAGATACTATAAGCAATAGGTCAACTATATTTAATGCCTAAATTGATTGTAAGGTGTACATGTCTGTCTGGCATGGTTCATCTGACCTTGACCTCATTTTCATGGTTCATTAGTCAATGTTAAGTTTTCTTGTTCAAGACTGTTTCTTAAAAACAATAAGGAATAGGTCAACTATGTTTGGTTTTTTGAATGATTGTAAGGTGTACATGTATTTCTCGTTTGGTTTATCTGACCTTGACCTCATTTTCTTGGATCATGTTAAGTTTATGTGTTACTTGTAGTAAAGCTTTGTATTTAGGAGTATCAACATAAAATCAATGGTTAGTAAAGAAGGCGAGACATTTCAGCGTGTGCACTCTTTGTTTGCATTTTTGCTTTATATCTTAAAAATTATAATAAATAGATAGAAACTTAAATTAGCAAGACAAGATCTACAATTAAGACAATATGGAGGAAATCGTCTGACGCCTCCTTAATGGAGTTATTGTCCTTTAATGATGATTTTTACATGATAAAAATTATAATAGATAAATAGACACTTTAAATCACAAAAATGATCAGCAGGGCAAGATCTACTAACAAGTCACATTTTGCCAATATAGTTAGTAAACTGTCACTCTTTATAGGAGTGATTGTCCTTAAATGAGGATTTTTTTTACTCTGTTTTGTGTTTTGTGCAAAAACAAAAGAAGATAAAGAGAAACTTAAACGACTAAAATATCAGCAATATAAGATCATCAAAACAGATTTTTGTCATGAATTCTATTCTCGTCTACAATGTTGGAGAGTGTCCTTTGTTGAATATGCAGACCAAGGTGAGCGACACAGGCTCTTTAGAGCCTCTATTTTTTTTCTAATTT